TCGTCTAGCCCGTATAACAACTACAAAAAGCGTACACATTTTTCTTTTTTACGTAGATTTTACAATGTAGTGTGTAGATTCGACATCTACACAACGTTTGATAGGGTGGCCGACGTATTCTTTATCAAAATTCAGTGCGGGTTACAGGTATTAAACTATACGTTTATGAATGCTTCACATAACAATTTAAATCTAAATTCAAAATCTTTACATGTACATTTCGGAAACAAGATTTAACAAAATAACGAATACACACAATTATTAACAAAAATTGTTATAGTCAGTATTATACTTACTGATGGGTGAGTGCTATTTTATACTACTACTTTTACTGTTTTGTAGTACTTCTTTTATGTATCTATATATACTCGAGTAATTTTTAAGCAGGGATAATACAAGGTATCATAGTGCATGATGTTTGCAGATGATATAGTTTCGATATGATAAAGCCGAGGAGCAGTAAACAATAGGCTTTTTGAATTATGAGTGCCACTTAAAGGAAATGGATTAAGGATAAGTAGAAGTAAAACATAGTTTGGAGGAAGAGGAAAAGTGGTTGACGGGACAAGACGAGTAATGACAATAAGTGATGACGTGATAGGTGAGATGGAGAGTTTTAAGTGTGTAGAATCATGTTGTATAAAGAACGGTTATTTTTGTGATGAGGTGGAACACAGGGTTAAGTGCGGTTGGAACAAGTGAAGAATATTGTCTGGTGTTTGATGCGACGAGAAAACGGCAATGAGAATTTAAGAAAAGTTCTACAAAAGTGTAATGATACCGAACACGTTATATGGTTCGGAATGTCGCGTGTCGGGTGGTAAACAGAAAAATAGAACAGATAATTAGTTTAGTGGAATGAAGAAAAAATATAGCGTAAGAAACGAATACATACGAGATACAATATACATGGTTTCGATAGGGGATACAATTAGAGAACATTGTTTTGGTGCATATCACGAGGACAAAAGAGATGGAAACGGTAAGATTGTAATGAAAATAAACATAAGAAGAAAAAGGGGGTGATAAAACCCGAAAAAGGCGGTTAGATGCGATTAAGAATGATATGCAGACGGCCGGGTGTGCCAGTATGACATAAGTGATCGAATCCAGTGGACGATTTGAATGAGGGTCGCTGACATCAAATAGTTAGGTTGAAAGCGAGGGAGAAGAAGATAAAGATACTATGTCCAAAATTGCAATAAACATTAAGGTGGAACTACGACAAACACAGTTAAAAATTAGTAGATGGCAGATTGTATAAGTTGTTTTTGACTGATATATGTACTTGTATTGGCGAACCTGATAGGAATTGTGGCGGAATCGATAGGTTCCCGTAATTTTTTAATATAAGTGTAATAATATTATTTTCCGCGGTTTCGGTAACGGGAAAAATCGTTTTATATTAATCGCGTTGTTATTATTAAAATAAACAACAGCGGTGGCGTCAGGGTTTCTACAATAATAACGATTATTATACGCGGGACAAGCGAATGTAATGTTCAAGTTGCAAAAAAAAAAAAAATTAAATTAAATTAAAATTACGTGTGACCATATATATATGTGTGTGTAAACGGCGTCATGCGTTTTCTGTTCACGGTGTTATATATTATTACAGTAGCCCACGGCGGCGACGGCGAACGGGGCGACGGTATACTTTTTTTCTTCGCGCGTAAACGGAAAGTAATTTCGGCCACGATTCTCTGTTTTACATAAATTTAAATAAAGGTTTCGACGGCCGTTTTTGTCCTTACAATTTTCTGCCATCGTCGACGCCATCAACTGCAGCTACGCGCGCGGATACTGTTTAACGACTGTGCGCTCACGACGGCGGTGCCCGAAAGCACACTGAAATTATAGCACTGGATTGACCGTAATGCGACTGCGATCATATTATAATCCGTGTTCAATCGGCCGATTAATAAAGCCAGGCGCACACGTTTAGTGCAAGAGTTGGCCGTTATTATTGGCGATTGTACGTTAGTCGTGCGAGACATTTCGCGTGTGTATATTGCTCTTTGGTTATACCGTCTCCGCCGGTGGATTGTCCCAGAAAATTGGACAACGAGTCAAAGGACCGCCAATCATCATATTAAACCTGCTCCTATACGGCTGGTGGTGGTCGGGTGTTTGACTGACTAGAATTCACATTTGTCACGAAATGTGTACACCGGTGCTAGACAATGACGTAAATATACACCAGTCGTGTAAGCGCTAATGTTGGTACAATCAATATTGGCCATACATCATCTGCAATGACCAATGGTTTAAAATCAATTCGGGTCAAACGTATTTACAGACCATAGGTTTTATGTTTACACTTACTTAATACCCTACCAAATTTGGGCGGGTTGAGTTTTTCTTAGGTTTTATTTAAAATTTGCGGTTGCCTTTGTTCATTGACTAGGCAGTTGGTTTTATGCAATAGGATTTTCAATCTAAACGGTCCGTGGTGTCAAAAATATCGAAAAACCCCCGATTATATGATACTATTAGTGATTATATTTTCCTCCCGCCCCATCACATACATATTAGCGTGATTAGTTGTCATGGATCATAATCGATATATTTTTCACTAGGCCAAAACTGACTGCTTCGATATCCTTCGTCCTCCTTCTTCGTGAAAACCCCCCGAAAACTCGTCCATCATATTACGGTCCGATGACTTTTGTATTTTCAAACCAACGACGTCGTGTTCAATATTAAGTGTGTCTCGGAGAACGCATCGATTTAATGCGGTAAAATGATGCATCACTTACTGAACGTTTCTATTTTCAGCTAGTGGCTTTTTAGACGAAAATGTGTTTACAGTAATACGTACAATGGTTTAATGAGCAACATTTTTACTTTCTTGGGTGAATCAACACCATCGCACTTGTATACCGTGTAGAATATCTGAATAAATTCAAGCGAACATTCATAGTAAATTTGAATTAGTATAGTTTTCCTAATGACTATTTAGCTTAAAAAAAAAAAAAATAAATAAATAATAAATTCCTTATCTCACCCGTGAAATATAAGGTTCAAATGCAATAAAAACTTTTTTTTCAAAATAGAGTTATACAAAAGTTTGAGTTTTATTAATAAAAGTTCTATAAACTATTGTAACATACCCTTTTATTCTATTCGTACCTACCCTTTCGCATACACAAGTATGCAAATATGTGTTATAGCGTTAACCTGAAATGCCGAAGGCCAAATTGAAAAGGACGATAAATATTGTTTTGGTATAGTAAGTAAAATGGAAAAAAAAAAATGAGTTTATCGTGTAACATTAAAAATGTAAACCTTATCTATAGATACAAAATATGTTTCTTTAAATACATATTCATATATATTACTGTAAAATGTTTTATTCTCTACAGTTCCTAGTCCACCCCTAAGTTCGGAACTTATAGAATTAGCTTATTTTTTTGACGTGCCATAAGGTTTAGTTATGAGCTATGAAAATGTGTGTAACGGTACAACGAATTCAAATAATAAATTTAAAATTTTTTTTTGTTTATTTTAATATATTTATAGTACTCATTTTGAAGGCTATAATGAAGTGTTTTTGAACGATTTTTGTTTTGATTTAACTGTTATAAGCCCCCGAACCTTATAGCTGGCTCGTTCGGTCACCCACCGAACCGTCGGCTGTACGATATAAGCGCAAAAGGTGCAAAACTGATATGCCATTTGCGCGAAAATTAATATTTTATAAATTTTATATGAGTACAGAGGCGTTTAAAAATATTTAAAATTGTCAACAGTCGTTAGAGTATGATAATTAAAGATTCAGAAACTAAACGCTTGGAGTTTTTAAACGATATAGTTCTAAATTTAATACCACACCGACACGGTCAATAAATACATGCATTATGTATAATACGCGAATATATATATATATATCTATTAACCGCGTAGCACACGGGTACCTAGGATTTTGGCGTTTTCGCACGATACGATTTTTTTTTTCCTTATCTTATTTTGGCGCTTATTACGTCTTCCGCCGGGACCGTTCTTCTCTCTCGTTCGTTTCGGCAATACACCGGGCACAATAATATAATAACACAATACAGTATCGTATGGGTACCAACGGGATATTATTTTTTTTTTCGCGCGGTGCGTTCCGTTCGAGGGGGGGGGGAAACGCGAGCACGTGACCTGTCGCTTTCCCTCCGTCCGCGCCGTCCCGCATAAACCGCTCTCGGATTGAAATACGAATACGTTTTCTAATACACCGTCGCATAGGTGGGAGGTTAGGTTAGATACGTGTCTACAAGATTACACACGCCATTCCTCGGATAAACACACGGCGTGCACTGCACGCCGTTAATCGTAGTCCGTGTTCAAAAACGGTATATCCTCCTGGCAACAAAACACTACCGTATATACCGTATAATATATATATATATATATGTATGTATATATAATATATGATATTTATCCACCGTCCCGAGATTGCCGAACTCTGTTTGTCTAGCGCGAAAGCGTTAGAATTTACTTATCGCGTTGCCGTCTCGGTCACGTACATATACTCGTATATCTTATATGCCCGTAAGAGGTTAAAGAGAGAGAAAAAAAAAACAAAAAAAAAAAAAAAAAAACGCCGTACACGCGCCATCTGTAGTAGTCTCTCGGTCCGGTTAATTCGTCCCGCGAACATCACTGGAAACCGGCCCTGCGCACCAATAATAATAGCGTCGTCAGGCATGCCGTATTCATTAGATAATTACATCTAACGAGGTTTGTACGTCCGGATTTGACGACAGTCCAAATCATTTTTGCGATATCGCGTCGATTCGGGTTTCTTCGGTATCCGAATCCGAATCGTTCGGTTTTAGATTTCCATTGCAATGGTTACTACAGAGACATAGTTGCCTTTATTTCCCGGTAATCGGTTAGGAAAAATGCTCAGACTTTTTTATTTCAGGTTCTTTGCCTGGTGGAAGGTACCTTAACGTGTGCACGATTTTCGCTGGTGGTATTTTAATTGATGGGTATATTTTTGTCGATTTATGGGCCGTCTTGATATCGAGGAAAATACACGTCTTTTACACGACAAACTACGATACTACTCTGCTCAGAATCGTATGTATTCATGCAATAAATTAAGTCTAAAAATAAATGGATAGTAACATTTAATATTTATTCGGTAGGTACCTACTCTGTGGATACAATTGACAGGCTAAACAGAAATTCTTTAAAAATCAACAATAGGTTCGTTGTAAGTCGTAATTTGTGGTAAAAAAAAAAAAAAAAAAAATTGATCGTAATGTTGAATTTTAGAATCGATTTTTCGTTAGCGACGTTGCACACCAGTGTACATTAAATTCCCCTGTTATCCGTCTTTTTTAATATATATTTTGCCCATTTTTCATGCACGTATTGAACAATGTTTATTCGTTTTTTAGTGCATGAAAATCCCCATCTTAATAAAATATAATATACATCACCTTTCCAATTATCCGCTTACAACAGTGGCCTGCCATTAAGCAGTATATTATCAACTTCGTTAGCGGTATTTTCATTTGTTACGTGTTCAATTAATTTGTTTGGAAAGTATTGGAAATTTCGAAAATTGTTTTAATCAAAGTATCGCTGTCGGCCGGAAGTTCAGAGTAAAAACACATCTTAACAAACCAAGTTTCATTGAATAAAATCGATACATATATATACAGTATCGCTGTCGGCCAGAAGTTCAGAGTGAAAACACATCTTAATAAACCAAGTTCAATTGAATAAGATTGATATATATATACGTGTAAATATGTAAGAGCATTATATCGTACATGTAAAATGTACTAATATATAATAATGCAGGTAACACAACCTCGGTCAACGTATTCGACGGTGGATGAATTTAAGATGCCTACTGGCTATTTATTATTATAGACTCGGTTTGACTGATGTTTTAATAATTGTTCGTTTTTTCTTCCTCACAGCGTTGTTATCGATCGCGACGTGCTCTTCGGAATCCATTCAAATCACTCCCAACGACATAGAACCAGTCAGGGACGAACACTCCAAGTACGGCGTGACATGCCACGGTCCGGACCTCCACGATTTCCAATGGCGCGGTCCCTATGGTTTAATATCGCAGGACCCGCTATTAAGGTGAGTCTATACGATTATTATTATATTTTTCGTCACCCATTAAAATATTATTATTCCCAAAAATTATTGTAATATTAACATTGACATAATTCATATATTAATTATGGTTTCCCCTTCGAACCCCGGATACAAATTTTTGGTCCTGGGGCGAAGAACGGTTTAATTAGATTTCGTGTAGTTTTCAAGCAAATTACATTTTGAAAATGATTAAAAGTGAAAATTAAACATTTGTTTTCCCGCTTGGAATATATGTATTATTAGTTTTCATTATAATGTATTATGGTAATTTAATGATTTTAATATTAAGTAGTTACATTATAGCTGTACTTTCTCAATTTGTATTTTATATCATAACGGTCTTATACCTTATTCCGTATTATTCCACCCGTAAGATTTAATACACCTTGAATTAACTATTAATTTTAATGAGTTTATAACAATAGGTGTTAAAATGCTTAATTTTAACTTTTGTATTTTTATATGTCAATAATAAAATCGTTAACGTTAAAATAAAACAATTTAAATATAATTATAAAATGCCAATTTGAAAATAGTTAAACTGATATATTACTATTTGAAAAAAAAGTTTTTCGTTCTATAAATCACTTATATCTTTTTATCCAAACAAAATAAACATTATAGTGACTTGATATATTTTAACTGTCAGTATAAAATGTACATAAACTTATGATGTTATTTAAATCAAAATGTAGAAGGAAAACAATTATACAGGACACTGTATGGGTCACTGTTGTAGATGAAAAGTTTAGAAGGTAGGATATAGAGGAGATTTTAATGTGTTTTTGTATGCAACAATTAATCACTACTAACGAAAAACGATTCTGTGCGGAATTCGCGGTTATGCATGTTTTAAAAGGCACATATTTATGATTTTCGTCAAAATTTGATATTAAAATTTTTATAAGAAAAACACGAATCTTAAAACTCAATTATTTCTTATTTACCTCTAAGTATAAATTATAATGAACCTCCTGTTAAACTTTCAAGTATTTCTATTTGGTTTACCATTACATTTTATCCTAAACTAACCTACCGAATAAATATTATGTAAAAATCTCGCAAAATTAAAATGTCTTTAAATATCACAAAAATGGATAAAGTGTTATGAACATTTTAACACGTCTATAAAATGCAAATATAAGACTCCTGTCTGAATTTAGAGTCTCTACGAACATTTTTAACTGAGTTAAAACAAAAAACAAAATTAAAATAAGAAAAACATCATTTTCGTAAATTAGCACGTTTTTTTTCCCAATGATTTATTTATTTTATTTTAAAAACTACCCTCTATAAAGTACCTATATTAGATACAGTTTTTAATTTCAGAAAAAGTGCTACATTTGAAAAACAAGATTTCTGGTAGAATTATTGTACACAGTATAAAAATAAACATTATCGTAAAACCAATACATTCCTATGTCTTCGCTTAGATTCTGATATGTCAACATTCGAATTACTCGATCTTCTTCTCTCGGAATGATGAGAAGTATTTCATTGTATTCGCGCTTGGACTACGTTTTTACAACTAAAATTATAATTATTTTTATTTTATTTTTATATATATATATATATATATTTGTAAAAACAAACCATAATCCCCGCTTACTATTTAAAAAAAAAAAAAAACCATTCAACAAAACATCATTTAACAAAAAAGAAAAACGCATATTTTACCCCATTGTTTGTTTAATATATAATATTATTTACCGAGAAATACAGGATTCTTTTTGATCGTCTGTAGCTTTAGCTTTTTATATTATGTGTACATCATATTACTTATTGTGTGTTGATCGAAAAACGCTTACAAAAATTATAATTCCCGCAGTCAAACATCACTATTTCATTATTATCTCTGGTTTCGTTATTAAATATTCCGAACTCAGTGTCTGTTTGTTAATATTGTTCGATAAAAAGGGTTGGTACTTACGTATTTTCATTTATTTATTTTCTTTTTTTATCTTTTTGGGGTCGAAGACAATACGAATAGTTTATTATTTATTTGTTTATATTATAACAAAACGGGTCGCGGCCTAAACTGCAGTACAATATTTTTATGTATAGGTATATATATATATCTAAGCCTAACATTGTTTACAAGGTAATATCAATAATTGTTCTATGTGTATTTATTTTTTAAATATTCTCGTGGTGTTTTCTTTTTATTATGTAATAAGTTATTAGTTATAGGTAATGCTTATTGGTTAGTAGCTTATTATTCTAATACAAGTAATACCTATGCGTAATTTGTACCTACAAAAATCGATACAAATAATGGAATGTTATTATAATACAATATATTGTTTTTCTTATGACTTATAGCAGGGGTCGGTAACCTGTGGCTCGCGAGCCATATGTGGCTCTTTCGATCTTAAGTTGCGGCTCTTCAGTTCCACACGCAAAAATTAATTATTTTATGGTCAAAAACAACATTTTATAATATAAAAAAATAGATATTATTTTTGTTGCTTTTGGAAACATGAAATAATACATAACAATAACTTGATAGTAACCGCACGGCGCACAAGCTATAGTAGTTATCGGAAGAAGTTGAAAAAAAAATTACTTACTTTTGGTGAAGACATGGGGAGCGGTAAATTACTATATTTTAAAAATCTGAAGCAATATCGCAATGAAACAAATGCAACTATTGACATAAATTTTTTCTGCATAACTATAAAAAAAAAAATGAAGGATAAATTTGCCAAATGATTTGAGCAATTCAAAACAAACAAAAGTACTCTAGTACTTCATTAGTTCATAGTAAACCCACTCAACACAAACACACATGAGGTCAACATTGAACCATTTGGAATTGATGCTGGATCATTTCAAATACAATGCTGGATTTAAAAAGACTTGTGGAGTGGCAAGTTCACAGAACTCAAGAGCAAGTTGGAAGATCTGGGGGTCCAGAAATGCATGCACGTTACGCAAAACAAGTGGACAGCTCTGAAAGAAATGCCGCGACAAGAGAAATTTATATTCAACGCATGGAATAGTCTTCCAGAATGCTACAGTGAGGTGAAGAAGTTTACATTTGGAGTGCTGGCAATTTTTGGGTCAACATATTCGTGCGAGCGAGCGTTTAGAAAATATTCTCCATTCGAATCTCTGTATAGAAAAAGGAGGTTAATATTATTTGTTGATGAGATTTAAGCATAAATTATTATAATATTTCAATAATTAAAATTGATAAAAGTAGCTAGATAAATAGGAGGTAAAGCTCACACAATATGATTATACAAAATTAATAATGTGGATGATTATACTTGTATTATTATTAGGTTACTATTTGATAATTTTAATTAAAACATAAAAAGTAGGGGAAAAAATGATAAAATAAAGCAATGAATTCACCGATGATTGCAAGTAACAAAAATTTCGAATTCACTTAAAAAGTCCCCGAGAAAATCGTCACTGGGCCATGATAAATATGTATCATCCTGTTATGCTGTATTGTATGTTGATATGTTACGTACATTTGTACAGTCTTTTTCTGTAAAATCATTACAAATATTATAATATTTTTACATAAATTTCGAATAAATTATGATTACGTAATTACGTTTACACGTGACACTAAGTATTTCGGCCGAATGAACTTTGATTAAAATTCCGTTTTCAGGTGGTGATAGGGGATACTGAAATACACACTTTAGGATGGATTTCAATTGTTAACTCTTAGTTGGTTGCATGTGTGCCCAATACAAAAGCGGTTTTTTTGTTTTTAATAGCAACACCTATTTTTGACTATAGATTTTAATAGTGCTAATTTTGTATTTCAAATAACTACCCGAAATTCAACCATCGCAATTTGGTTAAAAAATATTATTTTTTAATGATTTTTCTAAATATTTCAAACATTTATTACCATATGTATACTTTATATTCGGATTGTCTTTACGAATAGCTTTTTTCCCCATATAATAGTATCTAGTCAAATTTCTTTAAATTTGTTGAATAATCGTTAAAAAAAAAAAAATACTGTTTATGTAATAAATATTCATCAATGATGCTTCAAATACAAATAGGACTGTTCGAATATAGGCAATAGGTGTCGCTATTAAAAAAAAAAATCATTCGTATCCGTGTACCCAAAGTGTTAAAAAAAAGAAAAACGGAAATTTATTCTTAAGTGTGTATTTCTGTATAAAATCCAAGGCTATTCGGCCTAAATTTTTAATGTTAACTGGAAACATAATCGCGCCATAATATACGAAAATTAGGTACTCAGGTACTATTATATTAGTGCAGTTGTGTAACAATACGAAGAGTTATAATCTCCGTCGGGACCGAATATACACAGATGTGTGCGTGTGTGTGCATATATTTTTATGAATAATATTATTAAAGTGAATGAAATAATCATAATAACTATATCGGGTTTACAAACGGGCGGAGTTAATTAATTCTAATATCGGGAGTGCCGTGTCCGCAATTCCCGCGGGTGCACAAAACACCGACAACGCTGCATCACGCACGATTTTTTTTTTTTTTACGATCATAATCTGTATTTAATCAACATAATATTATTAATAACTTTTTATTGTCGCATCCCGGTTCTGGTATCGTGTATATACTATCTATCGAAAAGTTATATTTTGTTGTTTTTTGGTCGAATTGAGCCGAATGTGAGCTCAAACACGAAAATTTGAATTTATTTTTAGCGGATTGAAGTTTTTCGATTTTCAATTGAATTTCAATATGAATATCAACAATTTTTTTACGGGACGATGGTATTTTGTTTTAACTTTGTACATCCTTACAGGCCGAACAAACAAAGCCAGTGGTATAACATTTTGTGTATGCATATAATATATCCCTTGAGGTTTCATCTTTCAAACCCTTTCCCGGACATTTTTATGCTCAAATTTCAAGTTTTCACAAGAAAAACTGGGTTTTAAATACCTGTACTGACAAAAATGTAATAAAACTCTAGTAATCATAATTATTTTAATTAGTTATAAAAAAAAAATCACCCCATACTGCTAACAGTAGTGTCAGTATTTAAGTCGGGAAGTTAGGAAGCTAGAACACATAAAGTTATTAAACTGTAAATCTGTAGGCAACGATAAATTATTATGAATAAAATATAAAGTTTAATTAAAATATGTTTGCAATGCAATGTTTACGACTTCCATTAGCATTTTAACGTTAAAGTGTATTTAAAGAAATTACCAAACTTTTTTCCGCCCCTTAGTATAACCTATAATAAACCTCGTGTAAAATGTCGATGTTTTTTCTAATCTGCCAAAACAATTTTATCCACATAAACCAACTAAAAAAAAAAAAATATGTCAATTATTTCAATTAGGTCAAATGGCTATTTGCTTAAAAATCAATATACATTTTAAACATTTAACCACGTCTAGGAAAGACCAATATAAATAAGTGATCTGTACACATTTCAGCTTTTATGATTATTTTTTAACCAAATAAAACCAAAACAAACAAATCGAAAATAATGAAACTGCTATTCCGACGAACTTTTCGGTTTTTCCGAAGGTTTTTATCGTTTTTTGATGGGAGCGATGTTCCTGGTAGAATTGTTGTTTACGAGCACCAATAAAACAAATTTCTCTTTCAGTTGTTAATCGGTTTACTCGAATAGGGTAAATCGGTTGACTTCAAATAGGTGGGATAAAGGCGAAGAAATATAAAAAGATTTGGTTTACCAGAACAATTTTTAAACTAGACTCGATCCATTCAATTTCTTGTACAAATTAAAGCTGACAAATGTCCGTGCTAATTCATTTCCGATATTATAAATTATACGAGGAAAAATCGATGCTAAGATTTGTTTTCCGTGCGCATTTATACAATAAACAAGAATATTATTAAAAAGAAAATCGTTTGCATTCCCGTTTCCAAGTATAGTTTTTTATTATATTCCGTCGGGTTTCATGCTATACAATATACATATTACATATAATATTATAAAAATGATAACCGACGAGTATAACAGAATACAAGCACGCGATATTCGCTGATTTGTGCGTCTATGATAATAGCTTCCAAAAACATACATAGGTATTATACAGAGTGATCCACTTATCATGTGCTAGCCATTTTCTCGGATAATTGTATGTGCATATCATTTTGGTCTTTTTTTTTTTTAATTTTTAAGGAATCTCAGAATCTTTTTTTAAAACGATTTTAATTTTCATTCCTATCCCGTATACATATAATGAGTATGTTCTCAAGATACTTTGTTGAATCTATGGTTCAAAAGACGGAGGGGTTGCTATTTAAAAATCGTTTACGTTTAAACTCATTTCAGATGTGAGTGGTAAGAAGGCAACCAAATAAAAACGACATTAAAATAAAGCTTAATAATGATTCCGTAACGATTGAAAAAGAAAAAAACCTCGTATTCAAATTAACTAAAAATCTCCCGAGAAAATCGGTTATTCGCGATAATTTAACCATCCTGTATACAAATCGAGTCTTATAATATTATTTCAGATTTGGTTTCTTGTTTATTCATTTTTGCGTATAGCTATATTGTATATACGTTACATAATGTACACGTTACGCGAATATATACTTTTAATAAACTTAATCGAATTTAAAACGCTATAAAAAAAAAAAAAACTTTTTTTATTTTTGCGTTCAATATTACATGTATACTACATGCATTGAACTGGTGCGAGTTGCGGATTTATATTAAAAAAAAAAAAAAATTCAAGAAACTCGGCAGTAATTTAAACACGAATCGGTAGTATTCTTGCACCGCTGCAGCGGGTTTTGCACAATAATAATACGCTGTTGCGGCCCATGTGATTTATTTTTTCGCATAGTGCAACTAAATCATAACAAATATATGATATTTATATACATTTATAATGTACGTACATAATAAAAACACCTGTGGAAACAAGGTGACGATTCATTTTTTCAATCGTAAAATAAATGTAATAATCGTATCGCGTGAAAAGATATATTTTCATGTATGAAATAGCATACAATTCTGTCGACTAAATCAGCAGATATTCAGTAAAATATGAATTACAATGTCATAGACAGGCAGAACGCCGGAAATTCAGTGTACTTATCTGGCTACAGATGAAACGGAAATATTCTTAACCGATTATCCGCAATAACGTTTGAAATCAAAAATATCGCGATAAAATCGTATTTTGTCTTGGGTATCGTCGTTAGTTGTTTTGCTGAATTTCACTTATTTAAGTCGAATTACTAAGTCCTCGAATTGAAAATACGTAACGGTTGAACAGCGCCGGAATCGAACGACGTATTCCGATAGAAAATGTTCGAAGACGTAAACTTAATTTAAACATTTTGAAAACTCTGATTACCTATCCCAGTAGTAATTTAATCGTCGATGCGGTTAATAATTAGTGTTTTTTTTTTTCTCTCGATTTTAGTTTTCTCATTTTAGTGCACTCTACAATGAACCGGTTAATACCTACGTTATAAGTGTAATATGCATGCTAATTAAAAGTAAAAATTAAAATAAAATAAAAATTATGTAAGCATCTAGGTATGGTATGTAGGCCGTATTAATCTAGACTCGTACTAATGGCTAAAGTACTTAAGTGTAATACGCGTACGCTCGTTCCCTCCGCCGTGTAAACACGCCGCGCGATTTGGAAATTGTTAAAAACGAATGAGACCTTTTTTTTTTTTTTACTCGAGTGCAAGTTCGACCGTTTCATTTGGGTAAAAAGTGCAATTCGACAATCCCGCGCACGCGCATACCAATTACCATATCGACATATAGTACGCGTGAGTATGCCCGTAGGTCTAATAACACAAATTGTGGATAAAATCAAATTTATAATATGTTATTGTTTTATCCTTTGTTGGGTGAAAAAAAAATTATCGATCATGTAGTACGGGCGTAAGTATAGTACCCTGCGCAGGACCGGATTAGGCCGGCACGTTTAACAAACGATGGGCCGTCAGCCCAGGCGTTAAATAGGGCCGTTACCGGTGCGATAATAATAACGCGCGTCATATTTTACAGACGTTATAATAA